AAAAAAAAAAAAAAAAAAACATATGCACAACAATATAGTTATAAAGGCCGTTAAAATATTTAATAAGATGAATATATAAAATATTAGAAAATGTTAAATTAATTAATAATTAATAATATATAATAATTATGACAACTTATTGTCTTTGTTCCATTATTATGGGGAGATCTCAAACACGTTTGAGCTTTTTAAATTTTTTTGCTTTCTCTACTTACCAAACTCAATAATTATTCCATCGATATTATTCATTTTGGTCCGCCCATTAGTGAACAAGAGGCGGTGGTTATTTCTGGCATACCCATTGGAGCCAAATAGAACCAATGCCGATTAAGAAAAAGGTTTTACAAAACGGGGTAGAGAGATTTTCAAAAGAGAGTTTGAAAGCAAGATTTAGTGAGAGATTGAAAACGGTATTATATAGCATGCAAGCAAAGGCAACAACAACAGTTTAGTAGTATATAACTATTCGGGTAGGGAGAAGTCATTGCACTTCATATGCATATGTGAGGGTACCCTTGTATGTCTCGAGATCTAGAAAAATATAACAGGCATAGAGGAGCCATCGCTAACTATAGGTGACCTCTCGATCTCTTTATTGTACCCAATAAGCTCCATACGTGCCTACTATTGAGAGCTCCCTATTCCTACATCATTACAAGCTAGAATAGTGCAAGGTGAGCTCTCCACTAAGCATAATGAAGCTCCCCCAACAATATCCTCCAACGTGCCATGAGTCCTAAATGGGTGACGACGCATTCCTATATGCTAAGTAGACATTCTCCTGTCGAGGTGAGTTCACAATCAGGAATTGTGGTTCAACGATTCCTACATAGACCTAGTCGATCCATGTCATCATAACAAACTTCAAATGTGATTCAATTTCAAACTAAAACATGGGTTCATATAACAAAAACAAAAATTATTATAATTAGATACACAATAATCATATTAACAAAAAAAAAAATAATAATAAATAAATAAATAAAATAAAAAGCAACAATATAGTAATAAAGTCCAATATAAAATATTAGAAAATGTTACCTTATTTAATAGGAAGAATATATAAGATATTAGAAAATGTTAACTTATTTAATAAAATTATTAGAAAATGTTAAATTAATTTATAATTAATAATATAATTATGATAATTAAATATCAAGCACTAGTGGTCTAGTGGTAGAATAGTATCCTCCTAAGGTATAGACTCGTGTTTAATTCCCGGCAAGAGTCCATAAAGATGTCTTGCCATGAAGAATAATATAGTGTTCTGAGTGATCCGACATCAGATGCATCTGAGCTTGATCCTTTTTCCTTTATTACTATCCTAATCTCTTTAAAACATTTTTTAAATGTTTATGGCTACAAATGTTGTAGGTTTGTTTACATTTTTCTCAAAAGTGCTCTTTATACAACATTGTTTAGTCTAGTCGGTGTTTAGTGGTCAGGGACTAAATACCGATTGAGACTGAGGACCAAGACTGGTAATCGAGATCTAGAACTGATCACTAAGGACCACTGTAGCAATCAAAATTAGGGATCGGTGACCATTGTGGTTGGTCACCCCTCCTTAGTCCTAGTCGTTGGCCATCGGTCGTTGTGGTGGGTGATGGTCAGGGTAGTCACCGGTGGAATGTTGTATTTATTGTCAATCCTGGTGTCATGACTCGTTTTCACACGAGTCACGACTTTAAGGGATTGACTCGATGGTATAAAAAAGGCGGGTAAATTTTTTGTGAAAATAAAACAATGAGAATTTAAAACACAATGTACAATATATTTATATTATATTAAAATAGAGTTCATACCTAAGTAGTTATAACACAAAATAAAGAACGAACACAACATTTTTAAACAAAAAAGATTGAGGACGACGTCTATGGCTCCTATGCTAGAGTTCGCTTTCGACCTCGACCATCTCCTTATTTACCTAAAAAAACATGGGAAACATGGAGTACAAAGACTCAATAAGTAGTCTACTTGTAGACTTTTAATGGTGTCATTGGTATACTAGGGTACCACACTCCTAGTCCTTCGATTATTCAGGTGAGTTTTAGTCCTAATCTAGATTGAAGACCTTTGTCCTTGGATTATGAGGTCTCAACCTTGATTCTATTCCAAGGCTAGTTTCTTGTTTTTAGAACGTGGATCTTGATCCATGTTTTATTCCTTAATTGTTGTCTCGTTCTTGGTTACTTTCTATATTCTTGTTCCATTCTTGGGTTGCTTCTCCAAGACACTTCCCCTAGAATTTATGGTACAAGTCATAAACCTGGCAACCCGTGTTTAAGGTTTCATATGTTTCAAATGACATGGAGACCTACGTCTAAGGCTTCATGCGTTCCAAGTAACGTAGTCTAAACCCGCATCCAAGGCTTCATGCGTTCCCTGTGATATTGTTTGAAAAGCCTATGCCCAAGGCTTCATGTGTTCCAAGCAACATGGTCTGCATGCCTACGCTCAAGTCTTCTTACATTCCAATCAGCGTAGT